ACTTGGTACTGCTCCATATTTTAATAATATTTCATCTGAATTGTTCAGTGTTTACAATAATGATTGTATTTTGATGTTTTACTGTAATACTGTCTTTATGTTGTCCTATTGCTGTAATATATTGCACTTAAGTGTCAATAATTGCATTGGCARSRTAWACTTTTTCTGTATACATACAATCCAATCCCTGGGATTGTCCTCTGCCACCTATCTTATTGTCTCATGATGAGCACTGTGGGCTTTCATGCGGGAGATCAGGGTTCAAATCCAGCTACTGCAACTTTAACAAAAATCTCTTCAAACATCATATTGTCACACAATTACCTTAATTACAAACACCTGCTGACGTGACAAGCACAAGCTGGTATAGAAAACACATTTGAACTTGGTCAAAGTTCATTCTGAAAGTCCAATGCTCTTGCCTACATTGTCCTACAGCTGCCATTGTAATGTCTATCTGTAAAGGTCCTGTGCCAAATGATTGCTATGCCTTTTGGTACCTGTACAGCTTGTAGTTTTTGAAATATTAATGTTTAAACTTTATTCCCAATTCATATAATGAGAGTCAATGGGGCCTTGTAATGGTCCAATACTGCCCCCAGTTGTACTCAACTTGGTACTGCACCATAGTTTTTTTGTATTTAATCTCAATAGTTCAGTGTTTACAATACTAATATGATTGTATTTTGATGTTTTACTACAATATTATCTTAATACTGCTCTATTGTTGTAATATTATGCATTTTTGTGTCAATAATTGTATTGGCAATGTGGCCTCTTTCTGTACACATACAAACCAACCCCTGCCACCACCTTCTGCCACAGTTACATTGGTCTAATGGTCTATGTCATGGACTTTCATGTGAGAGATCAGGTTTTAAAACCCAGCTGACGCAACTTTAACAAAAAATCTCCTCCAACTTCATATTGTCACACAATTACCTTAATTACAAACACCTGCTGACGTGACAGGCACAAGCTGGTATAGAAAACACATTTGAACTTGGTCAAAGTTCCTTCTGCAAGTCCAATGCTGCAGGCAAAGCCATGCTGCAAGACATGCTACATGGCAGTGCACACTTGTTTTTACATCGTAAAAACCCATGTCTAGTTTGATTTGTCTTCCTAATCAGGATAACTCTTTGAAACCTTTTTTACGTTATTCACGAGAAATGTTTGATATGATTTTATGAAGGAAATCTCAAAACTTTGCTAAGTTGCAGGGAAAATGACAGTAATTAAGGGTTTTCCGCAATTTTTTGTAGCTACAGCTCAAAAAAGGCTTCAAAAAAGACTCATTTTCACCTAGGGCCACATGAGCCTTATGGCTTCCCTCAAAGGACCAGTTGTTCGTCATGATTTTCAGGCAGGAATGAACCCATGATACAGGCAGTTTCAAAAGAACCAAAAATCAAAATTTATTTAAACAAAAAGTGCTGACAGGGCAGCTCAAAAAACTCACAAGACTTGGTAGGGCAGGACAATACAGAACAATGATCCGACAGGGAAGTGAAGACAAAAGACAGAATTTAAAGGTGAGACTAACGAGCACAAACAGGAAACACCTGGGAGAGAAACATGAGGAGCAGGTGAGGGTGGGCGGGGCTGGAGCAAAAGCAGGCAGGAGGAAGAAAACAGATTACAAGACAGAAAACTAGAATAAAACATTAATACAGACACCCATCATAACATAGTTATTAACTTTGACATTTTGTGTTTAAGCATTTTGATGTCCTCCTATAAACACTGAAAAGTACTACATGTACAACTGACTAAATGTGACATAAAAATACAGAAATACTAGCCTGGTAAAAACCAGCCCCTTGATTTTCACTTTGCTTTGTAAAGAGGGTCTGGACTCTCAGCTACTGAGAAACGATTGCTTGCTGGAGGTGTGGACTCTGTGGAAACTTAAAATGACTGTATTTGATTTAACCCAATCGCTAACGTTTGGCCATGAAGTATGTAGTGCACCAGCTTGACTGTGAAGGAAGCTGACTAAATGCAGACTAAAAAAGCGCAGAAAATTAACATCATCGTTCATAACTCCTCCTTCTATATGTTAATTAACTTGGTTGAAATTCTGCCAGAAAAATCCATGTCGATGGAAGAAAGCTCAGAAGGAGCAGTGAACGGAGATTAGAATCGAGCAAAATTAGGTAGGAAGGCAATGGCCAAGCTACAGAAATACTAAGAAAAGTAAGTTAGACAGTTGTACTTACTGATGAGTTGATGAGCTGCCTGCCATCTTGGATTCTAAACTCGACCACTTCCCAACAGCAAATTCTGATTGAAGGGGCGTTAGTGGGAAATTCCCACTTCCCACTACAACTGAGTCGTAGCAAAAGTAGTCAACATAAATACAGATTTTACATGGCATATTTCATTGTCTGCCTGTTACTTTTGAACCCTGTGCACTTCCACCTAGTTGTAGTATCATCATTTTGTGTGTAAAATAATCAACATGCATTATGGGAGATGTAGCTTTTGGTCAATGCTGGCTTTAAAGCAGCATGCACACAATTTAAGACATCTTTGAAGCTCTCACGAGTCTTGTGGTCCATGGGCCTTTAACACATGCTTTAAGATTATATTTCAGATATTTCATTTCAAGGTGTTTATTTGTTGACAAAACAGTTTTGTTGCAAACATTTTAACCAATACACTATAGCCACTTATTTTGCCTCATACCACTATGTGACTTAATCCTCAATTTGATGTGATGGTTTATATCTCTGTATGATTCTAATATGTACTTGATCTCCAGAATGCTTTACTTGTGCCAAAAACTACAGTAAATTAGGTATAAATAGTGTACACTGGAGCTGAATGATGTAAACTTGTGAATTAAGTCTCCGTGACTCAGGACTTGATTTCAGATCTAAAAGGGGATGTGTGTCACCTGAGTAATGACCTGCTGGTTTTCCTGATCCTCTGTTTAAAAAAAAGGAAGAAAAACCTAAGCTGCTCCACAGTCAGGTCCAGGTCACTGCAGCATTATTTAACAGTGCCTGATCAAACACACGGTATCGTACGTGACTGTTCAAGCAGCTAATGACGTAGTCATCCATTTTCCTAAACAAATACTTCATTACTGTAATCAGTTACAAATGAATAAAGAGAAGCTAGCTGACACATTCATGTACTGACATACTGTAAATGTGTGTTATATGAACTGTGAGGACTACAGTCCAAATATGATTCTGTACTTTCTGCAGGTACATCCAGGCGGCCACTTCTCCCAAAGATATCATCATTTTGGTGGACGTCAGTGGCAGCATGAAGGGTCTGAAAATGACCATCGCCAAACACACCATTAACACCATCTTGGACACGCTGGGAGAGAATGACTTTGTTAATGTCATCGCTGTGAGAACAGAATTGTTATTAGTAATTCAAGTAGAAAAATGGCAGATAAAATATTATACTTATTGGCTCAGTACACAAAAATTAAACAGCTAAACTGTTTGAGCTGTTTGCTCTCTTATCTCCAGGTTCTGGAATACTGTAGATCCCTTTTGGATTTGTTGGGATCATACACCTACTGGCGACATGGTCGTCAATTAAATTCAAGTAAAAATCAAACAGAATTTTTTCTAGCAAAGGTCTAGAATAAATATAAACTTAGCACAAAAAGTAAGCAAACTTGTGTTTGGTAGATTATCTCTTTGTTGTAACAATGCTTCTTGGCAATGAACCTTATACCGTTGGAAAACCTGTTAATTTCTCTTTTAAATGGTGCCACATTTGTAAGGAACAAACATTTGTGGGAGGAGCAGTAGCAGTGAAGTATGTGGGTTGTGCCCCTGAAAAATTTGCAAAATCTATGTCAAACAGCTTATTTTACTGTTATTGACTCTGAGCTTCTAGTACCTCCAGGTGCTGCCAATCACATATACTGTATGTATAAGATTTATTGCCAAGAAGCATCGTTACAACAAAGAAATAGTATACGAAACACTAATTTACTGACATTTTGTGCTTTTTTCACTGACCATGTTGTCTTTTAGGCATGTACCTCTCTGTTACATTAACACTGTTGGTGTGAGGCTTCCTGTCATGGCAGCACTTTATATTACTCAATTATCCATTTAGGTGGAAACATTTTATCTTATTACTTTATGCCAGTGAATCTACACTTTCTTCACTAACAGGGTATGACCTATAAATCTGATCGGTCAGAGTTTTGACTTGGTTTATGAGGTCTTAACCTTCTTATTTCTATGTCTTCTTGGTTGTAGTACACGGATTACGTTCGCTATGTTGAGCCATGCTTCAGGGGAACTCTGGTCCAGGCTGACTTAGATAACAGAGAGGTAAAACCATTATCTGTATTAAACCGGTCTAAAGAGCTGAGACGCTGTCGTGGCACACACACACACACACACACACACACACACACACACACACACACACACACACACACACACACACACA